GGTTATAACCAGGACTGAAAAATTAGCGTTGTTCCAAATCTGGCCGGTTGTTTCAGCTTTGAGGAAGTTCCAAAGTTGATGACAAGCTGGATCTTCGTACACGGTTTTTTGCACTATTTATTCTTTCATGAGCGTTATAGTCGGCACCATGTGGCAACAATAGGGAACTTAAGGAAAGGCGACGGCGACGAGAACGGAAAAAAAGCATTAGCTGTGGTCACACTACAGACTTTTTACCTAGGTAAACACGACTTGTTGACAGTTTACCTAGGGAAACTTGATTTTTTAAGTGTGACCGATTTTTCCCCAGGTAACTTACCTCGGGAAAAAAAAATCTTCTGGGTCTTGGATATGTCTCGAAAACAATAGAGTTTCCCTTGACAGCTACCCCAAAGCAATAGCTAGGGAAAAATGAAATACCGAGGTTGCTAGCCAATAGACGCTCATCGGCGAAGGTCTTGATGACAGAACCGGACATAGATCACGCTGTGCAAGTAATTTTGGGAGCACGAGTCGTCTACATCTTCGCCTTTCTTCACCATTCACGTTGAATTAGCGTAAGAAATAACAGCGAGATAAAAGAAAAAAATGTCTCTTTGATCAGCTAGATCCCTGCGCATTTTGCCTTCTTGAATTTACGCTCCAAAAAATTCAACTGGCGTGAAAACTTTGGGAGTCGATATCAGTAGTGTGACCTTCCCAGAATTTTTACCTAGGTAAAACAAAACCCGAGATGAATTTACCTAGGCAGATTTTTGATGAATTTGCCCTAGGTAAATCGGTTTTACCTAGGTAAAAGTCTGTAGTGTGACCACAGCTATTAGGTCGAATTAGGTTAAGATTAGCAAAACAACTACTCTGCTTTCACGCTTTTTTGTACATTTCCTCGTCGTCACTGTACGACTACGACGTGAAATTGCCTTATCTCACGTCTTGTAGGACGTGAACACAAGACAATGACTTTCTTTTTCTTTTCCGGAACTTTTATACAGTCTTTTAGAATTCATCTCCAGAAAAATTTGTCAACATTTGACAAATTGACGACGTGGAAGCGTGATAAGAAGCGCCTTAGGGTATTATCATTTTAACTAATAAAAGTTACACGAAAATGAAAAGAAGACTCCATGTTTTAGTCGTTTATTCTTATCAACTAGGTATGTTTAAGAGGTACCATTTTTCAATGGAACGTATACGAAAGAGGTACCGTTTCTGTCAAAAATGGTACAGGTATCAGGATAAAAGGGTCAGGGGATGGACCTCGGTGCTGGGCCTCCCCGTATACTTTGTTGAGTAACCCCCGGTAAAGCAGTCGTTTTACGGCTTCAGTGGCCCGTAATACGTACATTACCTTATTCCGATTTGTACTTGGCAAGTAATACGTTTTACTATCAGAATGCTGAATAATAAATAAGTTTCAACAGTGAACTAAAAACTAATATTTTCCATTTAGGGGTTCACGGTGGCCATAATATGCTGTCGCGTGAGAAAAAGACCGTTATGCATACCCTTCACGTCACTGTACATTCGAAGAATGATCAAAAACCTGTATCCGCGAGGAAATACTTCAAGAAGAGACGATGAGGGTCGTTGACTAAAAGTTTCGATCAGAAAACATGGGGAGCTGCGAACTCCAATGGACAGTAATGAAGTGCCTGGAAGGGCTTTACTGTACCCTTAAAATAATGCCGGCTGCGTGACGTAATCCCTCTGGGAATGTGACTCGACATCTTTTTGCTATTGGCGTCAACAGATGATTAACCTAGGAGGATCTAATCACACTGACCAGCAACTCGACATAAGACACTTTATAACTGTTCTAAGCAAAGTTTAGCTGATTTACTTTACTTAGACATACTTTTGCGAATAGACTTGCGTTATCAAGGAATCCGTCGTTGACAAAGTTTTAAGAGCGGCTTTCCGTAAATATCGACCCATGGTCGGCACAACTTCCAAATTTGATTTCGCTCATTTTTGGCTTGCCGCCGGATAACCCTTTTAGCCTCCCACGCATGCGTTTTCAGGGGAGCTCGTTTTTCATCCCTTGTGGGGAGGGATGAAAAACGAGCTCCCCTAAAAACGCCTGCGTGGAAGGCTATAACCTTTAATGAGTAATGACAAGAGAGAATGAGCTATGAAACATGCTGTAGTCAGTTTTCCCAAATAACGTGTTCTTTTGTTAAAATTCGAGAAAACGCATTTTGCCCGTCTCAAAATCCACTTCCGGTAAAGCGAAATTTTACACAAATTCCATTGACTCGTAGGTCAAACCACAACGATTTGGCAGCCTTTGAAAAACACGAATAGTTTTTATGATCCTTTCTTACTTATAAGACGATAAAATTTGTGAAAGCTGTAATAATTTTGTGGCCAAAAGGGTATTGTTAAAAATAGGCCCTATTGACAATTTCCAATTCGAAATTAAATCTTTCAGTAAACCTATTATTCTCATTGATTGCAGCATTTTCTTCAGATACAACATATAGCGTCCCCGGGATAGCGTCACACACTTTCATGTTCAGTTTCAGACTGGCGATTTCCCTCAAAAAATGGTATATGAACAGAAGAAAATCTAAAACCTAAAACTTTTTACTGAATTAATTTCTGCATTGCGAGATATTTGCGAATTAAATCATCGCCAATAAATACCATTTGGTTTATAAAAACTAATTTCCTTGAAGGGATAAAATATATTCGATTAAGTATTGGTGCAATAGTTCTTTTCGAAGTTTTTACCCTTGCGGGCTCTCAAAACTGAAAAAAAGCTACGTGGGGCTTACCTTTTACTCAGTTTCGGGTACTTTCGACGTTTTACTAGAAATTTCCTGTAACGTCTGAAAAGACATTCGCCTATTTTCCTGGTTGTTGGAAACTTCCAGACGGAAATTCGGATTTCATGTCTTCAAACCTTTTTTGGAATATTAGTTTCAGGCTTCCGCGGCCGTTTTTCATTAGACAAAACTGACTTAGGCAATCGTAAACGCGATTACCGAACGGAATCTGCGTTGTCGGCTAATTTTTATGACACGCAGCCAGTGGAAAAAGAAAGCGAGGTATTTTCAGCTGCAAGAATGGCTTCAGGTCCTGTTACCTATGGCGATATTGATTTTTGACAAACAAAGAAGGCAAATTCCCTTTGTTTTAAAGAATACCACAGAGCTAGTTGTTTAACAGGAAATTGATAGATCGGACTAGAGTTCCGCGTTTTTAAATTTCCCGTTAATTTTTTGGATCTAAAGGCACTATTTCAGTGTCATAATCTAAAGAATGGTAGTGTGAATTCGAACCCGCAACGAACAGGGTTCGCATAGTCTTCAACAGTCCTTGATTTTTAGGGGAAGTCCTTGAAAAGTCCTTGAAATTCATGCTTCCTAGAAAAGTCCTTAAATTTCTGTGACAGTCCTTAAAAAGTCATTGAATTTTCTTCAACTTTGAATGTAGTGGCCTGGAAAGTGTTTTTAATGCTCTTTTTGGTCGTCCAAAACAGAATGAAAATTTATCCTAGCTCAGAGAAGTTAAAATGGTTTACATATTGCTTTATGCAATTTTTTAAGGCCAGTGTTACACGAGCGAGCACTGAGAATAAAGGTTTATAGTGGGCACTTGCAGTTCAGCTGGTTGAGCCTGGGCCGGATCCAGAGGTTTAGATCATAATTTTATTTTTAAAAAAACTCTGTCAATAAAAATTTCTTTCATCTTTCCCTTATACCGGAATTCACGTTTGCATCTGCGAGTGTTAATAGGCTGCTGGACGCGCGCATGAAAAATTGAGCCTACGTTAATAAGGCACCGGACAGATTTCCGACCAGTTGAAAATTCACGCGCTTAGGTTTTCCGTTCACATGGAAGCACGCTAACCGTACGAAAATTTAGACGCCTAGCTGTTCAAAAAAGTTAACCGCCAAAATGTAGGTCAAATTTTTTGCTGGTACGGTCGAATATTTGACCGGCACGCTGTGAGACGTGGTTTCTTGGATGCGTGGCAGTTCAGTTGGGAGACGTTATTTCAGATTTGCTAAAGTAGCGCTCTGTGCATGGGCAGATTGTAAAACTACAGCTAGAGAAAAAAGCGAGAGTTAAAATTCAAGCTGGCTCGTCAGTTCCGTGTGAACCGAGAGCAAAAATATTGAACGGTTCCGCGAGAACGAAGTGCCCGGTCAAATTTTTCAGCCGGTCGAGAATTAGTCCGGTTCCTTCGTTGTAAACTTAACCTTATAGGGTTGCAAAAGGGAGCTTTAGCAACGAAGATGGCGACTACAGCAACGAGAACGGCTAAAAAAAGCAGTAGCTTAGATTAGCAAAACAACGACTTTGCACGCGCATCACGCTTTTTTGTACATTTCTCTGCCGTCACTGCACGACTACGACGTAGAACGTCCTAATTTCACGTTTTATGGAGGAAGTGATCTCAAGACAACTATTTTCTTTTTCTTTCTGTGAACTTAGATACAGTCCTTTAGAATTCAGCTCCTGAAAAAATCGTAAACCTTTGACAAATTAGAAGAGTTGGAGTAACAGCGATGAAGTTTGAGACAGCGCGAATGCACTCTTTGGGGAATGTTCGATCAGTCACTGCCGTTGCCGTGGGCTCGCTTTGAGGGAGAGGGACGCGCGTGTGTCCTTCTCTCACGCGCGATCGCTCATCTTGCGTTACATATTTCTTATGGACTGGCCACGCGCGCTAATTGTTATCTTATGACTTGGGTCGAAAACAAATAATGGTCGTTCAGATCAGTTGAACACCAGAACGTAAAACAAGATAAACAATGAGAGTAACGAATGAATACTTTTCAGTCACAATGACATTATTTCACAATGCTTGGCGATTGCTTAGCAATCAGGCAATTTTGTTTTTTATTATAATGGAAATCGCCGGAAAATCGATTAAAGGCTATATCCAAAACCTACATCACGTTGAGAGCGTAAATCCCACTTAATAACATAATCGCTCGAGGTTATGTTGCCGAATTTACCGACTACGCTGGAATATTAAGTACTTATCAATGCTTATTTCATCGTTTGCTCTTTGCCGCGTAAAATTATTGCTATCGCTAACGGCAGTAGTAGTTTCACTACAATTTCTTGTGTTAGTCGTCGATCAAGTTTGGTTACACGATGACGTTGTAAAAGATTGTACTACAGAGAAAATTGCAGGTATTGTGAAAGATCTTTGTGCTTCAATGCCATAATAGTTCAAATTGTTGCCCTGTATACTTTATTTCTTTGGTTAAAACGAAGAACCCAACAACGCGAATCCAGATATTTTTGAAACCCCATATTTACTATTTACACGAATAAACCGCATTCACTGGTTTTGCTAGACGGAAAGGCAATTAGTGTAAGAAAAAATTGAGAGTTTCAAAAATTCCCAGATTTGTGTACACACGGCGTAAAAAATACTTTCGGTCAGGCCATGAAACCATATAAAATTTGAGAGCAAAATGCTTCTTTTCTAAAAGCCGGTTAATAAGCAGTTATAACTGACTTTCAAAAGTTGGCAGGGTATTGTGCAGTAGTTAATTCCACCAGAACGAAATGGATAAAGGTTGACCGTTTTTTAATCTTTTTAATCGACTTTGAGTAAGCAAGTGGTTTTAGAACCTTAACATAGCTATAGCCAGAACTATGAATCACTGATTTCCCATGGTAGCCTTATTTAGTCTTTATATTTCGTGCTGATTTCAAGCGACTAGTGTATAATATGCATTTGGTTCATAATTTATTGACGTACATTATACAAACTTTAAAACTCTCAATTGTAGGTGTGAAGGCTTCAGTATCAAATAAATGAGGGATGTCAGTGTTATTCACCTTTTTCTTTTTGTTGCTAGTAAATATACCGTCATATCACTCGCCCAGTCGCCCTGGTATTTTTTTATTATTATTTATTTTCACAAAACGCCTTTCATTTCCTATCCTACTGGATTTTGTCGACTCCTAGTAGACATCATAAAAGTATAAATATTCGAAAATTATCTGACATTTCGTGTTCAGTACAGTGAACTTCTAATACGTTTTTTAACACTTTTCTTAATTTATAATCCAGTCAGATTAAAATTTGAAAACTGTGCGTTAACGTTATGTTTTCACTGGCGTTTCTAAAATGTTTCAAATTGTCTGCCTGAAGCTGAAGGTTCGCGTGTTTTTTTGCGGTGAACGCTGGAAAGGACACGAAACAAAACTTCCTGATTGTTACTGCGCCGGGTAGGAATAATTTAATACCTACAAAGGAACCTCGATCTAACGAACCTCTATGTAGCGGAGTCCTTGGTATGATAACGAATAATAGTTATTTATAATTAATAAAATGTGTAGGAATGAACCTCGATATAACGAAACCTCAGTATTTATAGCGAACAGATTTTGTTTCGTTAGTCAAGGCTCCACTAAACCATCCGAAGGCTACTGAAGAACATACAAACATCGATGTTCTGTCTTGTTCGTTTACCAGTAATGTCATTACATGATACAAGCGCGCTTAACATTTTTGAAGTTTTTATATTACATTTTTAAAGTATAATAATACCTTTTCACAGGAACTGGCTACCAAGTCAACAAAAACGAACGACGTACCGCTTCCCCTCAAGAAATTAAAGAAATGGAAACCGACGTCTATTCACACGAGAAAGAATTTGAAAATGCTGTTAATAGAACTAACCCCGAAATACAAACGTCAGGGGAAACTTATCAAATAATAAATCAAACGGAAGGTATCTCTAATCGAAAAACAAGAAACAACCTTACGACAGAAACTACTACAAATGAGCAACAGACATCTAGAAATACAGATGAAAAGACAGTGAAGGACTTCACAGAAAGAGCGGTAAATAAGGAAATGAGTCAAGATAGTGCTATACAGAAAGAATATAACTGTAGGCAACTTAGAGAGAGGCAATCGGTGAGTATACATAACATGAATGGAAATATAGGAAATGAGTCGTATTTTGAACTGTGGATAAAGATATGGAAGTGGAAATGATCCTCGCAGTTGAATAAACAACCTAAGCGGTTGGAAAATAACCTGAAGATTCAGCCGGCTTGACCGGAAATCGAACCATGATCTTTGCGATGACCGGGAGCAACGCTCTATCCAGCCAACTGGAGAGCGAGCCATTGTGAGTTCGTAATACCCGTTGGTGCAGCCTCGTACCCAGGTCAGTTCGCGCTATCTGAGTTACCAGAGAAGCGAATTTTCCCTACTAGCTTGACAGGTGACGTCACTTCCGAAATCGTCGAGGACGACTGGGAACGAGGCTGCCGTTGGTGAAAATGACATGAAATGACTCATTTTTTGAACTGCAGATAAAGAATTTAAAATTGGCTTGATTCGGTTTCACGGATAGAGCGTTGCGCACGGTCATCGCAAAGATCAGTGTTCGATGCCGGGTCAAACCTGGATTTTTCCAGGGTCTTTTTTAACCGCTTGGGTTGTTTATTCAACTGCGAGAACCACGGCGTATTTTTTGAACCGGTCTGCTATCATGATAGGTTTTCCTTACCCCCCACCCCCCTGTGTAACCTGTGTAACAAGTCCAAACATCTTTTCGTTTTATCTTCTTTGTCGTATTTCAAATGTCGTGCTACTGCAGCCGTGCCAAACTGGCTTGACTGTAGCGGGACTGTAGCACGACTAGGAGACCCCGTAGAAACTTCAAGTCGCTTTTGTCTTTGCTGTTTAAAATATTTATAGACCCCGTACCGCCAGTCTTACGGACCTGTTCACTTCTCCTGACTCTATGATGAATAGGAGGCGGAAACATCAGAGGCGGAAAATAATGTCAAGACGACGTTGATCGCACCTATTTTACTGAGCTTGGTCTTTGTGAGTAAGCTGTGGGGACATAGCGATAGCTTCATCCTTCTTAGGGAGCCGCCATGTTAGTCTAAAAGTGGTTAGCCTGTGCTAGGCTATCAGAACTTAAAGAATTTTTTGTTATATTTAGTAATTTTTAAAAGTTCAACATAAAAGTGTTTGATTTTTAGGTGAATGGTTATCTCAACATGCACACGTGGTATGGCTGGTGTGGTATGGCGGTTGATGATTTGCGTAGAGAACCACTTTTCCCATTCAAACCTCATGTAAGTCAGGCAGCAACAAGTTACATGGTTACAGCAGTGTATCCAAGACGATGCTTACAGTTCTATATTTTACTAGTTCTTTCAACTTGAAGGCTAGGACATACATATACATACATTGTTTACAGGAGGTAGCCATTGCGACACCTGAAGGAGGGACATGAGGTTAATAACCCTATATTAATAAAGGCCTGATCGCAGTTAAAAGTGTCTACGATTAAAATCTTGCCATATGCTAGCAAACGATACAGTTGGTAGAAACTCCAAATTTTTCCGGCGTGGGGGGAACTTGGGTTAATGTTTGCTGGGTATGTGCCGCTGGTCTCTCAGAGCCCCTAACCCATTTTAGTCTATTTTTTGGCCAGTTATAGACGCCATCTTAGTCACTTTTTGGAAAATGTAATTTTCGCGATCCCGACTTAGTCACTTTCTATTTATGCATCTACCTTGTCAATGTAGTTTCAAGCGGCGGAATGTAATGCGGTCAGTGCGAGCTTATTGTTAAATTTCATAAACAACAACTTCCTGATTTTTTAACCGAGAATCTTTCATTTTGAATCCCTACTTACCGCAAAAATCCGAAAATTTGCAACCCCATTCTAGTAAATCTATTGAAAATGCGACCCCATTATAGTCAATCCAGTCGTGAAAATGCGACCCCATCCAGCGGCACATCCCTATTCGCCTCTTGTAAGGGAGTACCCCCCGAGACATTTTTCAGCTCTGTTTTCTCTTTTTTAATTTCTTGTTAGGTAAATGATCGTCTCGGAAGATTTGCAACAAACGTAACCGTGAAAAGAAAAAATACTGGGAGACGAATATTTGGCTACGTTCATCCTAGAATTACAGGTATGAAAAAATGTTTTCAAATATTTTCGGTGACGATGTAAGCGACAGCCGGAACTGGAGTAAATCGCAACATTTTTGGTACAGTCAAATCTCTACTAACGTACCCCTTTGCTTGAGCAAACAGTGCTTGCGCATGCGCTGATTGACCGAGTTGACCCGACTAGGCGAGCCATGAAAGTGTTTGTATGGAGGACAGTTGGTCCTGCTAGGAAGGTGATTCTACAATCAAAAAAGGTGACCCGATTAGGCGGGGTCACGCTTCTAGCCGAGCCAACTTCTAGTTTCTCATGTAAACAGTTACCAATTTTTGTAAGGAAATACAGGAAAAGTTGGATCACCCGGGATAGTTCGGGTGCCGGAAGAGTGCCTATTCTACCCAGGACAATATAAAAGGCGCTTTATTCATGGAGTTCAACTGCACTTTTAAAAAGTATCGCACGTTAACGTTAACAGTTCTAATCAAGGCATCATAATCTGCGTCATGATTTTTTTATTTTTTTTTTTTTAACTTTCTTTAGGTGATTACGTATTCGCCATAAGTTCCGCTGATGGTTCGGAATTGTGGCTAAGTACCGACGATGATCCACATAATTCCAGGAAAATTGCTTATCTCGGAGAGGTAAGAAAGATCAAAGACTTTTGAACAAGTTAATAACTACAATACTAAACAAAAATCCTTGGGACAGTAACGCAGTATTCAAAATTTTCGGTAATTTCTGGGTGCCCTCATTAAACAGTGCATCCTTTTCGAATTTTTCTTGCAGTTCTCCCTTCCCCCACCCTACACAATGTTGAAACTGGGAAAACATTCTTGATAGACATGTCCAACGTTCTTTGTGGGGTGGGAGAGGGGCTGGGTAAGTGTGAATTGAAAATAGCTCCACAAATGCAAAATTGTCCCAAGACTTTTGTCCATGATTGTAGATAAGGGGGACTTGTTTTCCTGTTTTCACCATTCACACTACAGAGTAATCAGAAAATTGTTTGTTTGTTTGTTTGTTTGTTTTTTTCGTTTTTTTTTTTTACGGCAGCCTGGAAACGATTATGCAGCATCAACTCGCTTTGCTGAATTCAGGTCAAGACAATCTCAAATTTCCGACAAAATCAGGTAAGTACGCTTGATTATGACAAAATGATCATTTACTAAAGCGATTTTAAAAGGAGTATTTTGCCAACCGCTTACTAATAATGCTTTGATTTCCTTTTGCGCTGAGAGAATCACATTTGGCTTTGCTGTTCTACAGGTTAGCTGGAGAAAATGTTTATTACATCGAAGTTCTTCAAAAGCAAAAGCGCGGAATTCTTGATCATGTAGAAGTGGCGGTGAGTTTTAAACGTACTTTAATCAATTTTCTTCTAACAAAAAGGAATAACTTTTCAACGCATAGAGGACGAAAGAGGCTACAACTTTGCATGTATTGCGGACCTATGCATGTCATATGTATCAAACCAGGTGGACCCAGGATTCAAAAACTAAACAATAGCCCTGGGGCTTGTAATTAATTTGGTTAATTATTCTAGCTTTTTTAGGAATGAAAAAACTAACGGCGCTTGGAATACAGTCTGAAAGCAAATCTGTTTCAAAAAAATCGGTCTATAATGCGCTAATGCATGTACTTTCAGTGTTAAAGTGCGCCTTCTGTATGGTGATAATGATCAATTGGGGTAATGAGGGTCAGTTCTAGATAGACTAAACTGGAGACTCTGTCCGTATTTGTAAGCTTAACCATACAAGAAGATAAAAAAAGTGAGAGAAGATTCATGCTTAAAAAAGCTATGTTCGGACTTGTTAAAGTTTCCACCTGTATGAACCGTCCAGAATCGGCTGAATTCACAATGGATGGACTTCAACTTAAAAAGACAGGAAGACTACTGATAAAAGACTTTGTTACTCCCATTCTCCGCAAAATATTTACGTTCATTTCAATGTTCATCCTTGGTAAAGAGTCAGAAAAATGTAGGAAAAGGTAAAACGAGCGTTTCATCTTACTAGATTTCCCATTTCTTGTTGTTTACGTTATCTTTAAACCTTTTTCTGAGGTCAAACGTGCGAGGTAATCTTTCTGTCTTTTTAGTGAGGTTTCATTTACCGTGAAGTGAAAATAGGAGCATATTTTTTGAGAAAAACCTCGAGTTTGAACTTTAAAAATGAATTCCTTAGCTTTGAAGTACTTTGCTAAGCTTTGCCTTTTCTTTTTTGACCGCGTTTTCGCTCCACAGTGGCAAATTCCAGGCAAAGAACAACTGGAAATTATTGATTCGAAATATATTTCTCAATACATAGGTAAGTAAAATAATAGAATCGATTTACTTGCTGGTGTTGAACACCAATAAAGTTTTCATGAATATAAATGTTATATCTTTCTTAGTTCATGATCATCTTTCCATTTCTTGGTAGATTATGCAGCTGATGAGGCAGAAATCAAAGCTCGGAAGAAATGCATCTGTAAAGATCACCCCACTCTTCCTTTTGGGTTCAATAAGGTGATTTTAAAAGATTTCATGCGCATTATTTTTTCGCGGGACCTTTTTTCGTCAAATTCATGCTGTACTTAATAGGGAGCTTTAGCAACGACGACGGCGACGGCAATAAGAACGTCAAAAAAGCAATAGGTTTAATAATCATGACAACAGTTTTGCACGTGCAGCACGCATTTTGTAAATTTCTTTGCCGTCACTGTACGGTTACGACGCAAAAATGCCTAATTTCACGTTTTATGGAGGACGAACACAAGCGACGACGAATTTTTTCTCTCTTTCTAAACTTGACTGCGGTCGCCAAGGATTCAACTCCAAGGAAATTTGCCTGCATTTGACATTTTCAGCTGAATTGGACTACATGCGCCAAAGTTTGAAAAAACGCGAATTCATTTCAAAAGTGACTTTTTCGCTTTCTTCTCCGTCTTCGATGCTAAGGCTGTCTAATTTATCTACAAGATCCTCTCGGCCTTAGCTTTCACGAGTCTTCTGGACTAGTGAAACCAGAGGGTCTTACGGTTCGGTCAATCGGCATGTCACGATCGGGAGACAAAAAAGCGAAAAAGCGCTCCCACCTGATTCTCCCACGGGAGGTCATTAGCTTCGAACCCTGTTGCATTGGGAACTCAACGTTTTTGCTTCGTTTCACTTTCGTAACATGCTGATTATCGCTTCATCTTTTACAGTCATTTAGCGATCAAGCTTAAAATTTGCCATCTTTTGGCCATATTTTTATCATAGGGCTACCATTGTTCTTTATAATAGGGTACAGCCGATAGAACTTTACTGTTTTACCTGACAACGACTTCCAACAACTAAATTTCATTTACAGTTTATGAGTCATGACAAGTACGACATAAGAGAAGACTTCCATTCACGCGGTGAGATAAAAGTTATCTTGTCATCCTTTCATCTTTTGCACTATTTTAAGAGTACAATTAACCTACCCATACCTAGGTAGGGTTGTCTTGCACCCAGAAAACA